ATACTGGTGTGGCGTCATCAAAAATCTATTTTTAGAATTTTCTAGTTTTGACCACAAAATAAGAAAAAAGACATAAAATACTTCTAACTATACAAAATCAGCTAGATGTGTTCAAAATCGGGTGATATACGGTCAATGAAAGATTTCAACTTTGCTAACGGATACTGTTATTCTTTTCTGGTTTATAAATCTATGATTAAATAACGACATTTATCGCAACTTTCCGCAAATTCTTTCTCATATGTCCAGAGTTAAATAGATGGTAGACCCTTTCAGAAAATAGGAGAACAAAACAAACAACACAATATCTTTCTCTATTGACCTTGGTCAACAGCTTCAAATGTACAAAAATTAAAAATAGAAAACATAATTAGGGAGCAAAAAAGTATCTTAACCAGTACTTTGCTTATTTTCCGCTACGTCTGCGCCAAGAACGTCTGCGCCAAGATCTTCTGCGCCAGGAACGTCTGCGCCAGGATCTTCTGCGGAAGCTACGTCTGCGCCAGGATCTTCTGCGGAAGCTACGTCTGCGCCAGGATCTTCTGCGGAAGCTACGTCTGCGCCAGGATCTTCTGCGGAAGCTACGTCTGCGCCAGGATCTTCTGCGGAAGCTACGTCTGCGCCAGGATCTTCTGCGGAAGCTACGTCTGCTCCAGGATCTCTGCGGAAGCTACGTCTGCGCCAGGATCTTCTGATGAAGCTACGTCTGCGCCAGGATCTTCTGCGAAAGCTACGTCTTCGCCAGGATCTTCTGAGGAAGCTACGTCGGCGCCAAGATCTTCTGCGGAAGCTCCGTCTGCGCCATGCAGGATCTGATACAGAGCCGTCTTTTGCTATTTGCTCAGAATTGTCTAAACGAGACCATTTACAAATATCAAGAAAGACCTAAAAAGTTAAGGAAAGAAACGCCCCAAGGAGAATCTGCGGTCAATTGAGCGTGTAGCTAACACGCTTCTCTGTGGATTCAAATATGCATGATTGAATAGGGCCCAAGACAATTCCGGAATCACGATTTTAACGTCTCAAAGATCGGCCCAGCCTTACATCGAATTGAATATTTGCATATCTATTTGCATATCTTGTCGTTTTCAACAAAAGTGCCAAGAACTATAGACCAAAAGTTAAAAGTCTATAGTACCTTCAGATAATTCAGTGTCCTCTTCCGGTTCTGTAGCATCATTTTCCTCTTCCGGTTCTGTAGCATCACTTTCCTCGTCTTCAGAGGGCTCTTCTGCTTCTGGGTCTTCCTCTTCTTCGCTTGCAGAATCTTCCTCTACATCAACCTCTTCCGGAACACTCTTCTCCGCCACCTCGTTGGTGTTTTCCTCGACAGTTGCACCTAAAAGATTAATTTAATCCCGGTGTAAGCTTAGCTATTGAAGATTGTTACTTAAAAAGATCACAATGGCATTTGCTAAGTAGGAATTTTCTTACGTGAACACTTTGATAAAAAGCTGCATATTCAAACGATGTTTTAACTTTGTATTACAAAGCAAAGTATTTGACCTAGTCTTTCTATTCTTTCTTTAAATAGGGTATTTTGAGCAATGATTGTCTGGGAATAAACTTCAGCATCAAGGTTTATACGACACGTAACATAGCGTGTAAGAACACAGATTATAGAGCGTTTGGCGTGGCGTCTTTGCTTTGAAAAATTAACAAAAAACATTGCGCTTTTCACCAAAATTCCATTTACTTACCAGTGAAGCCAGGAGTTATTTACTGTATAGCAGCTATACATTTAATTTACAGGCATCATCCAACAGCCCCACCAACGATCGTTCTAATCAAATCGTTCAAAAACTCTATCTTAATAATTTAAACGAGTGCATGGATCTTTCTTCGCCAGTGTCTTTACTAAATAATAGCAAGCAAGGCTGCACCTACCGTTGGTTGAAATGACGAGTCCAAGAAGGACACAAAACAGCAACACGGCCTTCATCTTGGAACAGGATCACAGCGTTCTCAGCCCAAACCTTCTCTAGCACCAATGTTCCCACACAGAATATCTCTATTCTGTGCCTCGAACTGCTAACACAGCGCGATTCTGTTCATTTATACCCTCAAATGTCGACTTCCGGTTGGCATGGATACTTTTTGACCAATAGACTGCCCTTTCTGCTGTCACAACCAATCACTAATCTGTTCCACGCCCTTGAGATGTTGCCTAGCAGAGATGTTGACGAACTATATACCGCAGGGAGGGATCTCTTTGAATGAGATAAGGAACACCACAACACTCTGAGAACAAACAACAAATTAAAAATAAGGAACTTCGTAGATAGAGATTATGGATAACTAACTTTGTGCCCAAGCATACTGGGCTTCACCATTGGGCTTCTCCGAGCACATGGATTACTTTGTTCGAAATCATTTTTATCATAATGTTCTGACCCAAAATTCTGTAAATCCTTGAATTAGGCCCCCTTGAGGGGATGGGACTTAGAAGTACCATATTCAAGTTGCCATAAGATTAGCTCGTTTCGTAGCGTTTTCTCAATTTTCAAGTTCATTACATTTGCAATTTTACTTTCTAAATCTTTCTACAGAAGTATAAATCAAAATAATAAAAGATGTTTTAGTCCAAAACATTGATATTTCCACTTTCTTCAGGTGATCTCTTGTCTCACCTACCAGTGGCGGCCTCGCAGGGGGGCCGGGGGTCCAGGCCCCCAGCTGACTTTTTTAGGGGCGCCAAAGCTTGTATAGGGCACCGAAAACTCAAACAAGTTTGATACGACCGACTTTTTTTATTATTAGGTCTCTAGGAGGTCAGCAGAGACAAAGAAGACGCCATAAAATTCAAAACTTTATTGGGGCGCACGCCCCCATACCCCCCAGAACAGTCTCACTTCAAGAGCACGTCTTTGTGCCCTTTCAGTACTGTATTATCCAGACAAAACATTTGTACTGTTCCCAGGGGCGAAAAAGTTAATCAATTGTTTAGAGGATTGTCAGGAAACTAACAGTTAAATTCTTTTGTGTGGAGAACACAGCACTTATAGTGCACACAGACTTTGTTTAGGGTATCGGGGGACAGTCTATGTTTAGGTTGTCCGGACTCATGATCCCCTTCCAGGGAAAATTTTGATTTTCGATGAGTCTCTTTGGCTCTGGTGGCCTTTAGAGACCTAATTAACTGACAATTTGGTTGTTTAATTGCTTCATCCTAGATTAGTCCATATGTTGTATCTCAAGTCACTTCCACGAACGTAGAGTTTTAAGTGCACAAGATAACAAGAAATAACGCTAAAAAGTGCATTCAAAGCTAAAACATAATGAAACCAGCTGTTATCAGATTTTTTGATAAAGGATAAATTAAACAGATGACTTTTAACTCAAAACATTGACTTCATGTTTCTAACGCGTAGATACTTCAGGCTTCTTATTCAAGAGGCATACAATGATTTTGACAATAAAGTTGGGTCGGGCCTACCCTGGGTACCAGACTCACTATATATGAAATAAAATCTCTACTATTTTATATAGTGAGTCTGGTACCCAGGGTAGGTCGGGCCTAATTTTCTTACCGGTTGCGTGTTGTTTGGCCTTTAATAATATTTCTTTAAAGTTCGATGGAATATTTACTTTATTTTCTATCAAATGACATGATTCATTCAAAGATATGTTAGAAACGGATTTTCTAGCCTTGTGAGAAACTGGAATCCTCCACTTATTGGCTAGGACCGACTATTTCCATTATTTGTTACCCCTACACTCCCCTAATTTGCCCCTTGACTGTTAGTTGAGTTGTATGCATGTTTTGAGCTCGTTTAGCTGCCCCAAAGTACAAGTTTAGCAAAACAAAGGTAAATATTTTTCGAACTTATCTTTGTTTTCCTTGAAAGCATAAGAGCTAGACCAACTACACACGAACTTGGGTGCTCGAGCCCCCTGGGATTTTTTCATTTGAGACTTTCATGGTAGCTTTTTTTTGAAGAACAGACTTTTGGAGAACACAACTAAGAGTTTGTAGGGTGGGGAGAAATTTACAAAGGTGTACATCCTTACCTTCCTTTGCTAACATTACGTCACAATTCACCATTCATTTTGTCGAATGGATCACTCTTTGACTCGACTTGACTTGACTTGACTTGATTTGACTTGCTTTGTTAATTTTACCATTATACATCGACTTATGCATACATGAAAAACCTTTATGTTCCATATAAAGGCGGAAATCAACCCCCCCCCTAATCCACCACATTTCGAAACCCATCTCAAACCTTGCACCATAAAACAATGGCAGATCAAATCGAGTTATTTTGCTGTTCCCGACTTAAGGCAAGGGATATACTGATAGCCGTCCTTTGCAATGAACGGAAAATTTTATAAAGCAGACTTATCTCACGTTTTCAGTAGTCTTGTGTCCGGGGTCTCTTGCAATTAAAAATCCAAGGGGGGGGGGGGGGGG